TATATATATTTATATTCAAAAAATGATCAAACCATTTTTTTAACAATGTCTACCATCATTTTAATTACAGAGGACAATTTAGAAGAAGAAAAATAACTAACCATAATAAAAATCATATATAAGAGCCAGAAACAAACATAAAGGATCAATCAATCTATCACCACTACCTTTTTTATTTAATTAGTCTACATCCATACACATCTATTATGTAAAATTAATAGTTATATATAAAATATTTAATTCTTGTCACTTCACAATCATTTCCTCCTTTTCCTGTTATCATTATAATCATTCCTATTGTCACAAGAATAAATCATATAAGAAAATTCCAATGCCTTTATAATAATATCTTTTAAATCATTTACTTAAAACTATTCCATTGGTTCATCTAAGTTTAATTCCATTCATATAATTTCCTTCAATTTTAAAACAATTACAAAGTGAACATAAAATATATATAGGGATAAGTGTATATGAAAAGTAATAATAATAAGTATAATGATTCTAATGAATATCAAAAAGCAATTGATTTTTTAGAAAGAGGCTGTGGCTGTAGTTGCTCTTCAAGAATTCCCAAGGAACAGTTTGCAGAATTAAGAGAATCCTTTCAAGCACTTTCCAAATCTGAACAAGATATATTTTTAATGGCACAGATTAATCAATCAATCTATCACCACTACCTTTTTTATTTAATTAGTCTACATCCATACACATCTATTATGTAAAATTAATAGTTATATATAAAATATTTAATTCTTGTCACTTCACAATCATTTCCTCCTTTTCCTGTTATCATTATAATCATTCCTATTGTCACAAGAATAAATCATATAAGAAAATTCCAATGCCTTTATAATAATATCTTTTAAATCATTTACTTAAAACTATTCCATTGGTTCATCTAAGTTTAATTCCATTCATATAATTTCCTTCAATTTTAAAACAATTACAAAGTGAACATAAAATATATATAGGGATAAGTGTATATGAAAAGTAATAATAATAAGTATAATGATTCTAATGAATATCAAAAAGCAATTGATTTTTTAGAAAGAGGCTGTGGCTGTAGTTGCTCTTCAAGAATTCCCAAGGAACAGTTTGCAGAATTAAGAGAATCCTTTCAAGCACTTTCCAAATCTGAACAAGATATATTTTTAATGGCACAGATTAAAGCCATGGATGGTGGATTAATAAACACTAGCAGACGCCTTAAAAAGAAAACCAGATCTAATAATCAAAGAAATAATTAAAAAATGTAAAAGATACATAACAGAAAAAATCAAATCATCGAAACAGTATAACAGCAAAGATCATAATATAAATAATATACTGTCAGACATGTGTTGGGATCCATATTATGATGAAC